TAAAGGGCTCTATTACATTTTAAATTGATTGGCGTTGTGGCCCCAGCCTGGGGAATTGCCCTGGCATGATCTCCCTGGGCTGATGTTTCTAATTCTGGCAACTCTAAATCCGTATGCCCTGGAAATCCGTGCTGTTGCTCACAGCGCGTGCTGGAGGTTAATCTCCATTTTCATGTGTCCACACAAAATAAAGGTATCGGTTTGTCCAAAAGATTAGCCCACAAGATGAAAAGAAAACCAAGCAAAGCAAGGTAGTAATTGCAAAATAAAATGTTTATGTGCAAAAAGCATACACAGAAAAAATAATCCAGAATGATTATTCTGGAGCAAAGCTTTCCCCTAGGAGAATTCAAGCTATGATTTGCAGAATTGCCTGTCTGGAGCACAGGGAGAAGCCACCTTTCTGCACTGCCACAGAGAGAGCTCATAACTCCATAGTTTGGATGGGAAGAGATGGCCCCAAGGGAATTATTCTGCTCTTGATCCACACGCGAAATCCTGGCTGCTGTCAAGGGAAGCGGTGCATGCCTAATCATGGCTGTAGATCACGCCAGCAAAGGCCAAAGAGAAGCTCATATATAAATGGAGTGAGGAGTTTTTTTGACACCGGCTATAATAAATATCAGTACCTTTAGGGAAAAAAAAAAGTGTAGACTTACGTGTCTGAGGTGGAAAAATAGCTATAGCTCTGCCTGATTTACTAGAAGGAAAATGTAAGGTCGTTGAATCATTAGATAAAAAAACTGATCTTGAAATGTCAGGATTGGGTGAGGATAACAGAACTGTCAGTTTTGTCCATTAAAAGCTCCCTTTTATTTTGCCTATTTTCTCTCTTTTTTTTTAATAGCAATCCATTAAAAATACCGCACTCGTGATTTGTTGGTATGCTGCCACTCTATTTTAACACTATCCATTAGTTCTTTCCTCTTCTGCTTTTAATATTTACACATATCATCAAATACTGGGCCATATTTCTCTGCTGCAAGAAATCTCATGAGTAAAAACCAATTACATATAGTTTGTTACTGCGTGCATGGCTGGAGCTTCTGCACAACTTCAGTGTCCCTATAGTGGGTTTAAAGTAGATGAGGACATTTACTTTGGTAGGACTGGGTGATAAGTTAACTTAGTGTGTTCTTATTTCATATTTTCTTATAAAAACAATATACTGTATGCACCAGTTAGAGCGAACGTGCCCTGGGAACAATCAGACGCTATTGCCCAGGTCTATATGTAACTGATCATATAATATATAACTGATAATGAAAGAGAAATAGTAGGAATTGTGGCCAGAAATGTCAATTTGACCTAAGAAGCTCTCCAGCCTCGAGGTTCCTCTAGCTCACTGAAAATCCCTCTTTGAAATTCTCCGTTTTCTCCACGACACGTGAGGGCCAGGTCAGTCCTCTGCACCACGTCTGCTCACTTGGGATGTCCCTGAGCTGGCGACAAAACAACACGAGAGGAGGTGACAACGCGACTCTGCTCCACCAGGAAAAGGTCCCTCGCGGAGCAGAAGGCTGGAGAAATTCCACCTGATCCCCCATTTCTTAATCTCTGGATACACGGATGGGGAGAGAGGGCGGGAAAAGCCCAGCAGGTTAAGCCTCAAGCTATTTTACTAACTGCTATGCAAAGGAGACTGTCTGCTCTGCTATTCCACTACTTATATTCTTCAAGACACTAAAATTTCTCAGTTTGAGGAAGGGAAAGGGTGCAAAGCAACCCTGAAGCAAAGCAACCCTCTGAAAGATCTTTCTTTCCTTAAAAAAAAAAAAAAAAAAAAAAGTGGGTGGTTGGAGTTTTGAATATATTTATCAGAACCTACCATCAAATGGAAATCTCAGGGGGTCCCGGGGCCACTCGTGGGGTTTCTCCTCCATGGGGCCCTGCTCCAAGGACAACCCTCTGCACGGAGCGATTCCCATCCTGTCCCTTCCATAACCCTCCACTCGGCACCTTCTCCGTGCTCAGCGCGCCCCGTCCAGACCCTCCGAGCTACTCCAGCCTTAGCAAAGCGCGGAGAAAGCCAGAAAGCATCCGTAATAATTACAGCCGAGTTTCCCTCGTCCTTGCACTATTTATTGCTCTCGCTCTTACCGTGGGTTGCTCGAGACGGAGGAGCCCGCTAAAGACGGGAATATTTCTTTCCAGGCAGGCGGCGAAGGCTTCAGGAGGAACCTGCCTCTTCCTCTCCAGCACTGGCACTTCTATCAGGAGGGCACGAGCTGGTTTGTGCTGCGCGTTGAACGGAGCGTTAAAGGACCGCGTGGCAACGACTGCAGCGGGGGGAACAGTCGCCTCCAGTGCAAAAGTAGAGCCCTCATGATGCTCTCGGAAAGGTGCAATAACTGCTCAAGTATCCTTGTCTAATTTGTCACAAAAAAAAAGTTTTTTTTTTTCTTTTTTTCTCTCCCTTATTTTTGCAAGATTGTTGTGATGGGGGGTGGAAGAAGGTGAATTTTAGTCATTGCAAGCAAGGCTGGGAAGAGGCAGCAGGGCACTGCCAGGTTCCCATCCTGCAAGGCATGCATCTTCCCGGGCCCCGCAGCTCCAGGACGGAGCTTTGCAAGGAAACAGCTCGCTTGCCAATAATAATTATTATTATTAATAACCGAGTGACGTCCCGATGCCGGTTACATCAGCCCGCCATGCCCTCCGCCGGGGCGTCCGCCCGTCCCGCGCTCGGAGCCCGTCCCCAGCAGGGTCTGCCGCGGGGACAGCGGCGAGACGTGG